AAATGAATGAGTTCTTGTCTCATATTGATTGTTGGTCTGTTGGTAATGATCTAATACTTAATCTGTGAACGTCAGCATGAGACATGAACGGCATCTAAACACCATTTTGAGATCCCTTAATGCTTGTTTCATTGAAGACTCTTTGATAAACACAGTGTCGAGGGTAAATTATCTTGTTGTTACCTTTTCCTCTGATCTCTCTTGGTCTTCTCATGATTTATTGTCATCAAAGAAGGTTTTCCGTCTGACTTACTACATAAAGAGATTGCATGCTCTTGGGATTACTCGTCATTTGCTCTTACAATTTGGTAAATAACTCTTATTATTTAAATAAATGTTTTCGTTACATTCAGTCGTTTGGTGGTTTTTTCGTATTAAACTGTAGTTTATGTCGGTACATTATGGTTCATAACCTACATTTAATCTCAGACAACGGTGTTTCATTGGTTTATCGTTCAATTCATTTGTATAAATTGTTCACTCCTCCAAGTCATATCTCTAACAATAATAGGACAGTTGCAGTAAGTTGTTCTGTAATATTTTCATAAGGAATTGTAATCTGTAACTGAGGTTGTTAGCTTATCTTCTGATTTGTTAATTCATAGAAGTTTAGGAGATGCATTACAATGAGTTTATTTCAGGTACACAAGTGTATTATTTCATCAGTATACTCTATTTCTGTATTATGTATGTATTACGTATTAAAACCCACTTACGAAACAAGAATTCTTTTGTTGAATTCAAAACTAAAACAACACATATGAGCGAACACTAAAGTTGTCAATACGATCTTCATCAGAGTCTACTCTATGAACATGTGAAAATAATAAACTTATCAAGGGAACTTATGGATCAACGATCACAATGAAATAGATTACAGAACTGCACATAATGGGTAAATTGTACGAATTGATGATTGTCGGACAGGTGTACTATTGCACTACTAATGAGAAGCAAAATGAAATAATGCAAGATTTCAAGATTCACTGACAATTTCACGAAATGTTCATCCAAGTTAATCATCAAACGTAAACTTGACAGTGACTGTTCGTCTCCCCAAAGAAATTTATATCTAATAGTTGAATTCATGAGTCAATTAAATGTAGACCGCCATGGAATACCTGGAAGTACTGGATGGCTGTTTCGTCCTAATAACGGACTCCTAAGTCAGTACATAATTCTAGTGTAGATCATACACAGTCCACTGATTATGATCACTCTATACATATGTATAAATGAGAAAATATCAAAGTGACAGCGAGTGAACATAGATGAATTTGGTGCTAGGAAATAGAGAACAGTTTTGTGCCGATATTCAGCATTAAGAACATCAAATTAACATAATCAAGTGTTGTATTAAATTAAGATAGTTTTGTACAGAAATGATTTAATATTTGCTTATTTTCATAAAAATGTCAGTTATAGTGTGATGCTTTCTACTATTAATATCAACTGTAGGAATGATATCCCACACGTGCAAATTGTATATGGCTGTAGTGATTTTATGCACATTAAGCATAATGAAAATTGAATCAACCAGATTTCCACTACCAATTGAGTTTTACGAGACAGGTATGTGCATTATTTATTCATTATTAATATACTTATCATTATTATTGCTATTGTTAGTGGTAGTAGTAGTGCGGTATGCACGGACACGATTTATTAGTAGATAGTAGGAATTGGAAGTAGGATACATACCATTTAAACAGTCAAGTAAAAAGAAGAGAATAAAACTGAAGAGCAGTCGCAATGATAACAAGATAGGAAGAATAATGAAGTGTGTAAACGCCAATTGAAGAAATATATGCAAGTGATGTATTAAGTGTAAGATTTTCATATTTCACAAAGGCATTGGGTGATTCTGAACAGAAGAACAAACTGGCTGTCCTCACCAAATCTCCATCCAATACAGTTGTAATAGTAGTAGTTGTGGTAGTAGTAGTAGTAGTAGTAGTAGTAGTAGTAGTAGTAGTAGTAGTAGTAACACGCAATTTGAGTAGATTTACGATATGATTCAAAATTCAATTAACATGTCTTACTTTGTAGCCTCACTAATCATAGTTTACTGCTTTTTAAACTTTAGGAGAAATGTATGTTAACGTAGACGGAGTGGATATTTCACTCGACCATAATGGTGTAGTGAAAATGGTGAAAGGCCACCGTACTACAACAATTTCGTTAGAACCACCAAGTGAAGAAGAAATAGCAACTCGAAATGGATGGCGCAACTGTACTTAGTAAGTTCTTAAATATGAGAAAGATGATCTATGAAAGTGAGTAATAAATGCATTTATACCGCACATACGACAAAGTGGTCATATCAAAGAACAACCATTCTGATAATGAGGCTCAGTTGAATGACAATCATAAAGTGCTTTGAGAAAAGATAGATAATTTTTACACTATTTAAAAGGTATCCAAAATTATGCAAACACTTTTAAAATAACGTAATCGTCAGGAGGTAGCAAGAACATAAATAACTTAGAAGAGAGATGTGAAAAGTGTTTGCTTGATGTATTTAAAAAGCGCATAGAAAAGTCAGACTTGTTTTGAAATTCGTAGTCAAGAATGGAGATCGACTCCACGGAGATATGGAAGATTGGCATAGCACTTCTGCACACTAAGACTGAGATTGAAAAGATGTACTTTCAAAGCCTCGGTTGTATTTAAACGTATGAGATAATTCGAAAACTACTCTGTTTACAAAACAATTTAGTACTCGATTGCAGGTAACATAACTTGATTTCTTCTCACTTGTCAAACATTTTAGCCAATGTGGACCACTGCAACCATCACAATACTGGGACGCAGTTGAATAAAACTGAATAACTACAACACGAATGTAGAAATCATTTATTGTCTACAACGGGAATGTTGGCTCTTGATTATCTCATCTTCGAATGTGTTTGATTTTTTTGTTACACTCATTTGAATAAATTATAATTGTCAGCATCCCTTTTCGTTCTATTTGTTTGTTTACTGGTAATCACATTTCACTGAAGAACACGTAGTATACATATTGCATGATTGACCAGCTACCATGTCGAACGACAGTTGATTTAACCGTTAATTTAACAGCACATTGCAAATCAGTTTTAGTTTGTACATTAAGCACAACGTATGCAACTAACAAACGACAGACATATTGCCATCATCAGAGCATTTTACTTTAGTTCACTTTCTGATGAATTATTTAAGAACCCATACTGACTACCTGAATACTCATGCAATTCACCTAATCGTAGTTACTACAGATTACAACAAAATATGAAGGACTTATTAGCAGTGTACACTACAGTCGACATTCGTTGCCTGTATCTATGTGTCTATCATGTATTTTTAGCCTATGCACAGCTCTGTCGGATCTTCTTGATTGTTCACAATTCCGATTTTCACTTTATCTAGTTTTCTGAATTAAGGAATGATTTAAGGCTTCGTTATTGATAAAGTGGTCACAAAATTTGTACTTCAACCATCTATCTGAAGTTCGTTGCACTTACCCTTATCACTTGTGATATTTTCCTCGGTTCTATTCATGTAGAAATACAGTATTCTAGGTTTCGCACTAGAACTGAAGAAACGATCTCTCGAAGTTAGTGATGAGCATGCATTTATTGGCATTTCTGACAGAACTATGTATGAACTGTAGACGTTGACTCTACGGGTGTTCATCTCTCTGAAGTTGATAATCTCCGTGCCGTATATGAATCTCCCATATATATTCCTTCGTGGTTTATAAGATGTACAGTGTTGGTACAAAAAACGGTCTGGTTTTTTATGATTTTCAGTGGTTGTTTGGCTGATATCACCTGAAAAGTCAGCTCGTCATCCGAATGAGAACAGTGACATGAGGATTTAGTAAGAAACACTTTTCACTTTTAGAATAGTGAAGTTTTTCTTGACACTGTCCCGTCTACTAAAATGTCTATCAATATCACAGATGCATCTCCGTTGGACAAAGGTGCAGCTCTACAGCAGAATGCTTTCAAAGTTTAAGCGGTAAATAAATCATGTTCTGCTTCATCAGGACCATGAACAAAAGGGTCATCATGACAATTATTAACATTGCTAAGATCATCAACTACGTTATTCATAACATCTCGGAATATTGTTGAAGAACGACTTAGACTGAATGGAAGACAATTGTATTTAAACAGACTAAAATAAGAGGTAATCATTGACGAGATCGACGAATGTTAATCCATTAGAATCTCGAGATGGGGACATTTCAAACACTTTTTGAATACAAATTCAAAACAATAAAGTGAATTGAGAATACGACCAGCTTCCATTGTAATGAATGTTCGCTTCTAAAGTAAGAGAAGTCAATGGTGATAAGTCGACTTTACTACCTCTCTTTAAACTCAGTACAGATGGTCTTATGTCACTCACTATGAAATCATAAAGGGTGTATAAATAACTGTCATCTATATATATATATATATATATATATATATATATATATATATATATCGCATAAAAAATCTTAAGCACTGATTACCTATATATTTCGTGTTCAAACCTAGTCTGCTGTATGTCACATGACACAATAAATCGTAACATAATGCAGAAAGGTTTCTATAACATAGCTCATGTCTCTGACTTCCTGTTTACCGTCTTAACATACAATTTTAATACACCTCCAGACTATCGGTGGACAATGTTTGGTCAATCTACTAAACCAGACTTTCAAAAGATTACTTTTAGAAACATTTAAATGGTATAACTTAGCCACAACAAAAAGATTCAACGATAGACACAACCGTCTGTAATAACGAAATTGTCTCCAATTGTTGCATCACGCAGAAAGCTTCCTAAAACATAGTTCATGTCTCTGACTTCCTGTTTACTGTCTTCATATTCAATTTTAATACACCTCTAGACTAACCTATTTTGGCACATAAATACTTATGCTTTAACAAATGAAATTAAATATGATCTAATACTTTCTGTATTACAGTAGTGCTTTATTTTATTCTTCACAGTTCATGTAACAATTATTCCCGATAGAAACAAAGTAACCTGAAGAAGAATAACAAACAAACAAACATACTCTGAACTGGATTTCTAGTTGCAGTTTCATTATCGCCATCATCAGCGGTAGTAGTAGTAGTAGTAGTAGTAGTATCGATAATATCATCAGTTTTATTAGCATAAGTAGTAGTTGTCATAATATTCATAGTTGAATAAATTTTATTTGGGATGGACAGAATTGTCTTTTGATTTTGACTTCTCTGGGTAACAGCCAAAAATATAACATGGGTAACCAAACACTCATCGTCCATAAATAGAAACTTATTGTAGCTAGATTTCAAATTGATTCAAAAATGATGTAGACCTGTTCAAACAATGAGGGATCATGATCGATGATGAGGTGAATGACCTCAAAACGAATTTCAGGAAACAAGTAGAAATCGAACATTGATGAATAATCATCAAATCATCACTCTCTACACTACGAGATTCCACCTTCCGAATTGCCTAATTCTCATTCAGTCATGACGACACAATAAGGAACTCAATACGAGAAACAATTTCTAATCAAACTTGTATTCTGTGTTCAGCAGTTCCGATATCTATTCATGTGCGGATAGATCCTTCACAATTCACTAATGATTTCTGTAGGTAGGAATAATGTGATGAGTCTCATTTCATTTTGATCAACTCCGTCTACCAACACAGTAATGAATTCCATATGGTATGAGGCATGAAATATTGAATAAAGTGGGCATCTTAACTATTGGCTGTATGTATCCACCTCATTTTCAGCATTTTTGAAACCATCGATTACGACTTGCATCGCAACATCAAACAGTTCATTTGGGAGCCGTCATATTTGTTTCTCAGTCAGTGTATTGACTGCTGATGCGTCTACCTAAAATACCTACTATTCTCATCTGAAATTATTTCAAATGGAATGATGATCACTCTCATTCCACCACTTCTTCTACATTTCAAAACACTTACATTCTCACTGTCCTTGATGAATATAATGAATCACAAAACACACTAATCAGACCAAAATAATGCAGCATAGGACATAATTACAATTTGCGTATCAGGTCAAAATAAAGATGATAAATGATGAGACATTGAAAAGATAATTCGAACATTTCAAGCTGCCAGTGAATAATAATATTAATAATAATAATAATGATAATAATATTAACTGCCAGTCAATACCAATGTTAAGAGTTTTGCTTCAAACGTCATGACAATCTTAATTTAGGTATCTGAAAATTAAAGAACTACTTCAGCCACCATCTAAGAGGTACAGATATTTATAGATGGCTGTCTACATTGATCTGATATCTTCGGTAATAATCAAGTCAGGTAGTTAACAAATCAGCTTCCAGCTGAAAATGACGTTAGCAAAAGATACAAAAGTTGAGTAGGCCACATTTTATGGAAGACGTCAAATTGCGTCATGAAGAAACCTCTAAACTGAAAGGAGAAAGGCAAAACGTACTTATTGGTAACAGTAGTAATGTCGATGAACCTTCAAGTTCTCATACATACGAATTTTCTTAATGGTGTTTCATCAGACAGAAAGAGAAACTGAATACATTCTTCATTATCAAGGGCTGGGTGAATCTGTTTTGAATGCATCATTGATGAGAAAATAAACAAGTCCCAACAAATATTTGTCAAACGTGACTATTACTCTTGGTTATGAGATGGTGGAGAAGATTTGTAGCTCAGGTGGATGATTTTGGTGGAGTTTTGTTCTCTGAGCTGGATGGTTTGCTCGTGGAGCTTTCATGTGTTTCACAGCTTGTTCTGTGCACCTCGATGTTGATTGGTTCTTGTTGACCTTAAATTTATCATTGTTTACTTCTTTGTTTTGGTTGTGTCTTCCATTGGTTTGATTTTCGTTCCTATATTTATGCATGATATCATATGGAGAAATTCTAACACTTCACTTCTACTTGAAGTTTGCGCTGATGATGTCGTTCAGAAGAACGATGAAAGCTCCACGACCAAACCATCCAGCTCAGAGAACAAAACTCCACCAAAACTCTTGGTTATTTTTGACAGAAACATTGAACCTAAACTTCAAATTGGAGAACCTCACAAAATTCCAGAAAGCCTCCATAGAGATTAAATTCTGGGGAGATACCGTTGTTGAACACTTGAAACGAGGTTAAACGACGTCTTAGAATGAACCGTCTATGCTGTATAGAATTGCATCGTTTATTCTAGTCTCCCCATCACTCGTGAGTGCGTCAAAGAAAATCTAACGAATTGGGCCAAATCAATGCTCATCTGTGTGTTCGTTTGCTTTTGTAGAATATGTTCCATTCGCTGCAAAGAGCAAAGTACAACTGTAGGGAAAATCTCTTGATCAACGAAACATTTGGTAATTTGATAGCGACTACTCAATTTTTACGTGCCGTTTGTTCTGGGATGACACTGAATAATTTGATTACTTATCTCTTATTATTCAAACCGTACATATATCTGCGATCGAACAGGACGACTGCCTAGTATCACTACGTGATTTCGAAACTTATCCTCAGGATCGATCAAACAATAAAAAGAGGTGTGGCGGCGGTGTAGCTACATTTGCAAACGTAAACTGGTGTCGATCTTCGTTTGTGTGTTTCAAGTTTTCAAATGACTTTATCGACTGTATAACTCTAAGATGTCGTCCAAAACATCGAATAAATACAAATATGTTTATGTTACCGATATCGACGTGAGTCTAGACTGCACATCATCTGCACTATCTGTTTTCAATGATGAATTCACTGAGTTTGCTATCACTGCCTTCAGTGATTAACTCCGCCTGGAGTCCCTCCGGGGGCTACTGCCCGTTCCAAGCATGGATAAAGGAGGAGGTTTGGGCATGTGGTTAGCGTCCCCATCCCGTAGAAAACTAACTCGCTAAAAAACGCTAACCAGGAAAAATTATTCAAACCCTTTAAACTCTGCCCTGGGAGTCAGAGGGTTTTCATTTAGAAGAACTATGACGCCTCATGATGAAAGCCGAATTCTTTCGGAAGTTGCGAGGCCGATGCCCCTTCTGACAATCAGAGCGACCATTTATTTGGGTACATGGAATGTTCGTACAATGTGGGGCACCGGGAGAGCCTTCCAATTTGCTGCAGAAATGAGAAGATGCAACCTGGAGGTGCTTGGGATCAGTGAACCACATTGGACGCAAGTTGGACAACAACGACTAACTTCCGGAGAGCTTCTGTTATACTCCGGCCATGAAGAAGAAAATGCCCCACATACACAACGAGTTGCATTGATGCTGTCCAAACAAGCGCGAAATGCGCTTATAGGATGGGAATCTCATGGACCAAGGATCATCAAAGCCTCGTTCAAAACAAAAAAGGTGGACATTACAATGAATATTATCCAATGCTATGCGCCTACCAACGATTACAATGAAGACACTAAAGATTAATTCTACAATAGGCTGCAGTCAATCGTTGAGAACAAAGGACCTGACCATTCTGATGGGAGATTTCAACGCCAAGGTTGGAACGGACAACACTGGATATGAAGACATCATGGGACGACATGGACTGGGAGAAAGAAACGAAAATGTTGAAAGATTTGCAAACATATGTGCCTTCAATAAACTGGTCATAGACGGCACCATATTCCCACATAAACGCATTCACAAAACCACATGGACTTCACCGGATCACATCACGCAAAACCAAGTCGACCACATTTGCATCAACAAAACGTTCAGGAGGACTATAGAGGAGGTGAGAATCAAGAGAGGAGCCGATATAGCATCAGATCATCACTTGCTGGTCGCCAAGATGAAATTGAAACTCAAAAAGCACTGGACAATTTGGCTGACAATATCACAAAAGTTCAATACGGCCTTTCTTCAGGATACTAACAAACTCAACAAATTCAAGATAGTCCTCAGCAACAAGTTCCAGGCCTTTCATGATCTACTCAATGGAGAAGGAACTACTGTGGAGAGCAACTTGAAGGGGATCAAAGAGACAATCACTTCAACATGTCATGAGGTCCTGGGTCACAAGAAGCATCATCACAAGGAATGGATCACTGTTGATACACTAGATAAGATTCAAGAAAGGAGGAACAAGAAGGCAGCTATCAATAGCAGTCGAACAAGAGCAGAATAAGCCAAGGCACAAGCTGAATACACAGTAGTAAACAAACAATTGAAGAAGAGCATCAGAACCGACAAACGTAAATGCGTGGAAGATCTAGCAAAGACGGCGGAAAAGGCTGCAAGAGAAGGGAACATGAGACAACTGTATGGCATAACAAAGAAACTCTCTGGAAATCGTCGCAAACCAGAACGACCAGTGAAAAGCAAGGAAGGCGAAGTAATCACCAACATTGAAGAGCAACAAAACAGGTGGGTAGAACACTTCAAAGTACTCTTGAATCGACCAGCTCCACTGAACCCACCCAACATCGAAGCAGCACACACGGACCTCCCAATCAACGTTGGCCCACCAACAACTGAAGAAGTCAGCATGGTCATCAGACAAATCAAGAGTGGCAAAGCAGCAGGACCAGAAAACATTCCAGCAGAGACACTGAAAGCAGACGTAGCGGCAACTGCAAGGATACTCCACATTCTCTTTCATAAGATTTGGGATGAGGAACACGTACCAAAATACTGGAAAGAAGGACTTCTGATCAAAAGACCAAAGAAAGGCGATCTCAGCAAGTGTGATAACTACAGGGGCATCACTCTTCTCTCAATACCGGGAAAAGTCTTCAACAGAGTATTGTTAAACAGGATGAAGGACTGCGTAGACGCCCAACTTCGTGACCAACAGGCAGGATTCCGTAAGAATAGATCGTGTACAGACCAAATCGCAACTCTACGGATCATTGTGAAACAATCAATTGAATGAAATTCATCACTCTACATCAACTTCATTGACTACGAAAAGGCATTTGATAGTGTGGACAGAACAACACTATGGAAACTTCTTCGACACTACGACGTGCCTCAGAAGAAAGTCAATATCATACAGAGTTCATATGATGGATTACACTGGAAAATCGTGCATGGAAGACAGTTGACAAAGTCGTTCGAAGTGAAGACCGGTGTTTGGCAAGGTTGCTTACTCTCACCCTTTCTCTTTCTCCTGGTGATCGACTGGATCATGAAGACGTCAACATCTGCAGTTGGACGATCTCGACTTTGCAGATGATCTAGCCCTTCTATTCCAAACGCAACAACAAATGCAGGAGAAGACGAACAGTGTAGCAGCAGCCTCAGCAGCAGTAGGTCTCAATATACACAAAGAGAAGAGCAAGGTTCTCCGAT